CCCCATTGTTTTATTTATTTTGTTGTGGTATCTTCAGAATTGCTGCATTTCTATTAAGAACTGTAGGTTTTGTCTTTTTATCAGATTAGTTTAAATTTTGTTTTTTAGTGGTGGTTGTGGAGGAGGGGGAGGTTCGATCTATTTTTCTGAAAAAATCAGTCTTGTAAGATTATTTTCCATTGGCTATTCAAGATTTAATTTTTCTTTTAATCATAAAAGAACTAAAAATTCTGTTTATGCCGTTTATTGAAAGGTAATGTAGTATGAGTTGTTGTGATATAAGGAATCACATTTTATTTATTTAAACTCATTATCGTTTAATTCTTCATACAGGTTCCAGCACCAGAATGCGTAGAAAAAGGTGGTGTTAGTAATGTGATGGAAGCCAAACTAGTCGTCTTCCTCACCTCCTTATTTATTAAGGTCTCATTTTTTAATATGCTATCTGGAGGGTGGGCGTTACATTTCAACAATGGTATAAGATTGCATCTCATGCAGAAGCATGTGTGTAAAATTTGCCATATAAACCAAAAGTTTGGCCTCACTCTTAAAAGATGGTATAATGCAAATCCCCTTCCAAGGGATGCCATCTTATATTATAGTTAGGTTTGGCCACTAAGTACAGAGGGGTGAGGGTGGCCACCGTTACCACTTCCCCCTGTTCCCAGAGCTATGAGAGTGCTGCTGTCTTTTTCTGTTTCCTGGCTACCCAGCTCTTTTCTTATGAATTAACAGAATGATTTAAAGCGGGTATGATTTATTGATTTATGGATATTTACTTTTTATATATTGACATGTGATTTTTATAAAGCTTTTGACAGTGTACTGTCACTACTAAACTTTCTGCCTCTCACCCCTAATTTCATGTAATCCTAAAAGTTTAAATAGATAAAAATCTTATATAATTCTGCCCAGCTTACTTATAGTCAACTTTGATAGAATTGGAAGGTCCTAGAGAATGTCTAGGTAATAAAATAATGCAAATTGCTTGTGTTGTGAGGTCTTTTCCTTTTTTCTAATTAGGCTGGCTGTAAACCTTCAGATATCGGTATCATATCACCATACAGACATCAGTTAAAGATAATCACTGACTTGATGACAGGCTCCTATGTCAATAAAGTGGAAGTAAATACTGTCGACAAATACCAAGGGAGAGACAAAAGTATCATCGTAGTATCTTTTGTCAGAAATAATACTGATGATAATGTGAGTTGATGGTGTTTGAGTGAATACTGAAGAATTTAAAGACCTTTCATAAATGTTAGGGTGTGATATCAGAGTCCCTGAAGCTATTACATACTTCAGTGTAATGTAAAAAGATGTGTATGCTACCTTATGTGTATGTGCAGTATAGTCACTGCAGCACAGTGCTCAGCAATGGCTAATTTACCCTTCTGTGGAGGAATGCTGCAATGTGGACATATCTAAGGAATAGGGGTGTTCTTCATATTTAAAACAACAATAGTACTTGCAGTGTGAGGAAGACTGGGTGGCTAATCTAACTTAAGCAGTAATATTAGAAACACTATTTTTAATCTGATTGTGTTTGGGGGGGAAAAAACATTTGCTAAACACTTTGCTGGTAACATATTCAGTTTAAAATTGATCCGAAAATTCATTTTTACTTTTGTTATTTATTGACTTGGTTTCTCACTGAGCAATGGAAATTAACTAGTTAGTTTAATTTTTGTATCTTCAGATATACAGTTCCATGTGACTGCACTGGTAGAGTTGGAAAAAATGCAAGCCAATATTAATTATAAAAGGGTAACAATTTTAAATGGCATCATTTATGTGACCCTAAGGTTTTTGTAAATGCATTTTATACCAAACCTATTTTAGAGCAAACTTTGTCTTCTTTTAAGAAATATAATGCACAGTGTCCTTCAGATTTATAAATCTGAGGATGGGGGAGTTGTAATTCAAAACTTCATTCTTTTAAATGCTGCAATGATATGAAAAAAATTGCTTTTAACAGATTGGTACACTTCTGAAGGACTGGAGGCGTCTTAATGTTGCTCTTACAAGAGCCAAGCACAAATTAATCATGCTGGGTTGTGTTCCGTCGCTGTGCTGCTATCCTCCTTTAGAGAAGCTGCTCTGCCATTTAAACTCTGAAGCACTGATATCCTTTTCCTAAAACAGCTGTGTACACACCTATACCTTTTAGTCTTGTTGAATATGTTCTCTTTTGTTAAAGCTTGTTACAAACATTTACTGGTTAACTGATTGGAAACACTGTAGTTTCAATGAGCGTGCATGTCATGAAAAAGAGGTACTAGAATGCCTATAATTTCACATTCACACCTGGTTCACTCATTCAGTAACTTTTGCAGTAATATCAAATCATGAAGTAGTTGAATAAATAATGTATAATACACAACAGGAAACATCTTTCTTTATATTGATTCTTCATCTTAAAAAGTATAGAAATGTGTATTCCTCTGAATGGTCTTCCCCCTTGGCTGTGAGTGGTATCAAGAATGCCTTGTCTTACCATGATGTGTCAGTCAAAAGAGGCTATTCAGATGCTCTGCGTGCGTAATATTGTCAGTTGCACTTTTATCACTGAACTCCAGCAAAACTTGGGGGAAGGAAGGGGAAGTGTCTGGCTTCTTAGGCCAGACTTCCAGTATCTTGTGCTATCCCATTGATCCTATTACAACCAAATAAACTAAAGCAGGGGTGACCAGGATTTGGAGTGTGGAGCTGTGTCATCTGGCCTGCAGGCCGGAAATGTGGAAGCAAGAGGAGTGGCAGTTGCTGCTGCCATTGAATTCCAGCCCCAAGGGCTGGATGATGCAACCCCGCACTCTGAATTCCGCCCTGAGATTGGCTCCCCAGAGCCAGATGAATTAACACCACCATGATAAAGGGGTTTGTTTTGGGGTTCAGCTGATAAATGAACCTTGACGTGTTTATTTTATCTTCTGGTTTATTATGCATGACAAAAATGATTTGCATGTCAGCTTTACTTAATAGTTTAACAATTAACTCTCCAGCTGTATCTAAAATAGGTCTCTGTGGAGTTCTTTTTCCCTATCCACCTTAATATAGTTAGCATCAATACTGTATTTTCTTCCAACCTTTGGAGGGCAAAGGCATGCATTTAAGGACTGGAATAAGATGAGAGAGGTTGTGGAATTGTCATCTTTGGAAGTCTTGAAAAGCAGGTTAGACAAATATTTGACAGGGATGTTTTAGTGAGGAATGATCCTGCTTTGAGCAGAGGACAAATGACTTCCTGAAGTCCCTTCCAGGCCTACTATTTTTATGATTCTATGAAACGGAACTGTGTTGACTTAATAATAATAATGAATAAGGCGTGCTAGCATAAAAGGGCAATCTCAGATTCAGTAGCTCTGGTGGTTCTCAGACTTACACTTTTCTCAGAGTAATTAGAAAAAAATATTGGACAAAAATCTGAAGAACTAAGACAAGATTTGAAAGGATAGTTGTAATACCAACTTTAAATATATAGTAAAAGCTCTGTCATCTGGCATCCCCTGGGAATGGGGGATGCCGGTTAATCAAATGTGCACCGTTTGGTGCACTCCCTGGCATCTGTGCCCGGGGGATGGTGAGGGGGGCCCCGTGCAGGCTGCTTTGCCCTGCTCAGGCTGCTTCATCGTGGGCCGAAGAAGTGGCAAAGAAAAAACTTGGCTTGCGGCGGCAAACCATGGAGTCCCCCGGAAGTGGTACTTCCGGTTTCGCTTTTGTTGCGTCCCTTGGATGCCGGTTAATAGAGTTTTCTGGCTAATAAAGTGCCGGTTAACACAGCTTTTGCTGTATATTTAAAAAAAAACCTTGTGCATTTTAAACAGATTTGGAAATAGCAATGTATTATCTAAATAAAATGTACTTTCCTTAATTTATTTACATTTTCAATCTTCCAGCTGGGACACATGAACGTGTTTTTCAGTGTAACCTTCTGTGATGGTACAGATGAAGAATTTTAGAGAAAAACCTCTTGTACACGTACTGCTGAATATAAATTACCGTTGGAATAGCATGTGAATGCTGAGTGCACCATGTAGGTTGTATGAAGTTGATCTTAGTCTGTATTCTCAAACTCCAGAGGTTTACCTATATCATTGCACTATCTTGCACTCACTGGTTTGTTTCAGAAAATAGGATTTGTTAATACCAAGGTCCCTGTAAGTACTCAGTAGTACAGTATAATCTGCTTTAAGGTGCTAGATGGTCATTCCTAAATTTCACTTCTATTTCGGTATATGGTTCTTAGTGTATGTGAAAGGAAAGATCTGCATGGGTGACTAAAAATCTATGGATTTTTTTTGTTTTTTGTTTTTTTTGTACCCGGTGAAAAAAACTACAGATTTTGCTTTGAGTGACAGAAAACTTTAGGACCATTTTAATTCAACAGGCAAAATAGATACTTTATAAATGAAGTGACTGAGCTCTTTTTTTGCTGCTATAGGCATGAACAGATACAGCAGTTTATACAGGAACATCTTATAGTGGTGTAGCTGTTGTTATGTCTGTCTAGATACTAGGAAGTTCCCCTATTTCCCATGCCCATTCTTGTTTTCTTTTTAAATTCTACCCCTAGCATTTTATCTTTTATATTTATGTATATTGTTTACTTTTTACACATTTCTCACATTGAGTCAACTTAGTGATTCTTCTTTGTCCTTTAGAAATATTTTGGATGTCTCATTAGAAATGGGATGTTCTACATCTAAACTCCTTTATACATTAGTGTTTTATCAAGTGAATTTGTAGAGTGAAATCTTCAGTGACTTCCTCGCTCTGTTGAAATCCACAGTAAAATTCTCACTGCTTGTAATGGAGAATGGCTTTCATCTTTAGTTCCCTTATTTTGTAGTTTGGATTGAGGTCAGAACAGCATCTTGACATCTAACAAACATACATACCTGTATTTTACTTCAGTGAAAGCCTTGAGTGTGATGCAATATACCCCTTTAACCAGGGTAGCTGAACTAAAACTACCTCATAGTCTCATACTCAGTCTTCTAATTAAGCCTCTAACTTTAAAGTTTGTAAAAAAATAAAATGAAATAATTTTTGAATTTTCAGAAAATAACTAGTATACCGTATCTTGTTCTCAAGTCACCCTATTTCTATTAATGGTTGTGTGCACGCTTTCATATGTTGGATATGTTAATTTTCAGTTTTAAAAACTCTTTGCTAATATTTGTAATGTTTGTACTGAAATAAAAATTAATTTCCATTTTGTTGTAGTCCTAACTCTATATTTACATCAAAATGTCGGCATTTTGTTTTCAGCTGCAACAAATGATAGGATATTTTAACTTCCTGTTGCGTGTCCCTAGTCTATCAGTGGACAACAGATGCATTATAAAGGTGGGAAAGTTAACAGTTAAAAAAACCCCACAAAAACCCCAAGAAACCCTGCTTCCATTTAATGTAGTAACTTTACTAGAATATTTGCATATTATTTGCTATCCTATTTTGTGATGTTAGTAATCTTTCCTATTTTTGTGATGTTAGTAATTTGTATATTGTAGTAAGTTTAAGATACCATAGGTCAGATTCTGTATACTGATTTTCCTCAACTGAGGTTTTCTTGAATAGATAACCAATACGTAATTGAAAAATTTGTGAAATGGCATGAAAATTGGATGCACGAGACCTGTTCCTGTTACTTCTGAAATGCCTCTTCCCTCTTCAGGTGTTGGAACTAAAGTTAAAGTTAAACTATATTCTGTTACAGTATAGGTCATGGGGGTTGGAATTTGAGGTCCCCTTTTATAGTTATAATTCCATGATGATATGGAAGTAGAAGCAATATGCTGAAAGGAAGGCTGATACGAGTTTCATAGACAATGTAATTAATGTTCCAAGAGAGATTTTGCTAGACTAACCATTTCTGTTTTTAACCTCTATATCTTTAAAACCCAGCTTGGAGTGACTATTGTGCATCTCCTACAGTTTTTAAATTCAGCTCACTTTTTTTAGTAGAAATTAAATTCCTGATACTGCACTGATTTAGTCTCATAATAGTTATTGAAATGCTTCAGAAATGCAAGAAGTCGTATATCAGACTGCTAAATTAGAGCATGAATTGGAACTGCAGAATAGTTTCAAATTTCTTTTTTTGTTTGTTTGTTTGTTTTGTTCTTTAATTAAGTGAGATCTTGCAGTAGTGAAGTACAGCAGAACTCTTCAGGGAATGTCCGTTTAAAAACTGTTATTTTACTCTCCTCCAGCTTTTTCACTTCTTTCCTAGTGATCTTGATCTACAGTCAGACAAGGGGAAGTTGTATGGCTGTCTTTACATTTGAAGTCTAATTCACAACATCCTCAAATCACAAGAGCCCTGTTAAAAGGGGTGGGAGGGATTCCTATTATCACTTGTCTATCCCATCCTTTATTACTGTACTGTTGGATGTAAGTGTAGGAATTTGACACACAAAATGCCCAGAAGACTTCCCAGAAAGAATCCTTATATAACCAGACTCCTTTAATTCCCTATTTTGAAAAAGGCAGCATTCTAGAAACCTGTCTTCTGTACCAGATTCTTCCTTTGACTAATTAGACTCCCTGAGGCAAATTGCTTATTCCTACTTTATTTAAAAAAAATGCTAATTGTATGGTGTTCCGAATTCTGATGATGCATTTGTCATTCTTCTCTGATGTTTATCAGCATGTCTAGGACAAACGATATTTCTACGTGCTCAGATGTCTGGTCAAGTACTGTAAAGTAATCCACAGGTAAGCCTGTGTAAACTGGAATGGGATGATCTCATTCACTATAAATTATGGAAGGCAGCTGTAAACTTTTGCTTTCAGCACTGCACCTTTAAAAATGAGGCACTTTCTGATCTGAAACTCTGAGTTGACAGCCTCACTTTCATAAAGATCTTGCCTTGCACTGACATCCCATTGCAGGCTTTGCAAGCATCTTTCTAGCCTGGCAGGGAAAGGATATATTGAGTCAGGGATAGACAACAGTTGGGCATGTGTGCCAGAGCATGGCATGCAAGGCTATTTTCCTCAGCATGCCACAGCCAACCCAGACTCTGGGCAGCTTCTGTTAGCACCAGTTACGTGGCTGTGGCAGCTGTGTGCGCATCTCTGGGTGCACAGCCGGGAAGGGACCTGGGGCAGTGCAACCCTGGCTCCTCCCTAGCAGAGCCCAGCATAGCTGTTTGCAGCCTTCCAGCCACCTGCTACAGCTATCTAGGGCCTGGGCCAGCTGTGCAAGGCAGCTGGGAGGCTGCACACAGTTGTGCTGGTCTCCCAAGCCCAGGCATCAGCTCCGTGGCAGCGGTGGGTACATGCACAGCTCAGCGTATAGCAGGGAAGAGGGTGGGGCAGTGCAACCCCCGCCCCTCCCTTCCATCCACCCAGGGGCATTCTGGTACAGGTTTCCCTTGATTTATGCTGTACATGTGTTCCTGGAGAATGGCGCATAAATTGAATTTGCAGAACCCACTTTACAATGTAACAACTAGGGATAGTTTCCCATGGTGATGAGGGAACGAGGGAGTGAGGCTGGGACTAGGAAAGGTACTGGGGAAGGGGTGCTGCTGCCCGGCTGCACAGGGCAGCAAAGCAGAAGGAACAGCGGCACTCTCCCCATCCCTGGCTGCAGCTGCCCTGGGAGCAGACAGCACCAGCTGCCTGCAGCCACTGGGCTGCACTGTGCTCTGCCTGTCCCCACTCACCTCTGCTCCCGGCCTGTGCCATGCTCTGGTGCAGGCAGCTGGTGTGGGCTGCTCCCGGGGCCTCTGCAGCCGGGGCTGGGGTGAATGCTGCACCTCATGCTGCCCGGGGCTCCTCTTGTCCACGCTCGCCCCAGCCTGTGCTGGAGCAGCCCCGGGAGTAGCTGACAGCAGCCCTCTGCACCATGGCACGGTGCAACCCAGGAGCTGAGGTGAGCCCAGGCGTGGGAGGACAGGTGGAACATAGTGCAGCCCAGAGGCTGCAGGCAGCTGGCACCAGCTGCTCCTGGGGCCACTGCAGCTGGGGCTGGGGTGAGTGGGGCTGTGGCTCTTCCCCTCCCCCCACATCTGCTTGCAGGGGGCGCATCTGTGCTGATTGCATATAACGAATTATGGGTCTAAATATGCTCATTGCGTAAGAGCAAATTTGCATATAAACCTGCATAAATTGAGGGAAACCTGTAGCCACTGCCAGCAAGGAGGACTGGGCCCCTTGCAGTTTCCCCATCTCTGGCACACCAAGCTGAGGTATGGATGGAGGTTGGGGTGATTTTGGCACTCAGGCCAAAAACGTTGCTGATCCCTGTGTTGGGTCTTCCTTTTGATTTTGGAGGGAAGGTGTTGGGAGCGTTTGTCCAGAGAATTCTTTTCCCCTGACATGAGTGGGACAGGGTGCTCACTGATGGTAGTTGGAGACTTTATTAAAAGATTGTGGCTGCTTCAGTGTTCGCAGTATGCCATGCACAGGTGCAATATGTGACCTAACAAATTTTTGTGGAAACAGTGGTACTCTTGTCCTTGAAGAACTTTGCTGCCTACAAGTGCCAGAGGCCAAATGCTGCTTTGTAATTTCAAAGGAATTGGACCTTTTTTCATGACTGGGTGGCTGGATCCTACAGTGCTGAGTTGAACTCATAGTAAAATCCAACTATTTATTTTTATATTGGCTAGCATATAAAGCCATAGCATGGCAATATCCTGACTATTCTGTTCAGTGGGGGCCATTTTAGCCTAGACTACCTTTGTCCTAGCTTTAGTAAACAACTGTACAATATCTAGTTCCATAATAGTTCAAACTAATGCATTAGCAACAGGTAACGTGGTGCATCCCTTATGAAAAGGTACCACCAACCTGTGGGTGGTTGCTACTTGCCACCCCCACCTCGCTGCCAACCCCGGTGGTGGTCGCTGATTCCTGGTTGGTGCTTGCCATCCCCCCTCTCCTTGCCACTGACAGCGCCATCGGCATCTGCTGGAGCTGCCCACTTACCGCTGTTTCGCTCCTGCTGCTGCTGCGGGGGGCATGAGTCATTCATGAACTAATGGGAATGGTGGTATATGTCACATGTGGTTTCCATGATAGTTCAAACTAATAGTAATGGGATACCATGTGGTTTATTAAATCTAAGACAAAGGCAAGCCAGTGCACAAAAAGGCTGTCCACAGTCGTGTTCGTTTGCAAAAAACCTTGGTGAATAATATTTCTTTATGCTTCATCCTATCATTTCTCATTGGATTATGAAACATGAGTTTTCTATACTTAGGTCTACCATAACGTCTGGGAGGGCATTCCCTATCCATCAGTTGCTCTTAAACAGCCACTGCTTTGCACGTGGCAGGGGTAGAATGAGATGAGGTGATCTCTAATACAGTAGCCGCCGCTTGTTTTTCCTTCACTCTTCTGTGAATCCTAGGAAGCAGGTTGGTTGGGGTAACTTCCCTCTTCCTTTCCCATACATCCAGTTACCACCTACAGTGCCTAGTGCTAACAGCTTAGAGTTGTTGGTACTTAGCAGCAATCTTCTACCTTCTGCGCCCCTGCAGGCTCCGGGAGAAAAGGAGCGGCTCCTTCCTAATGAGACGGGAGCCTGCCCCTTCCCAGGGCTGCGAGTTACTGGGCTCCAGCAGCAGGAAGGGGCCGTCTGCCCGGGAGCGCCGTCTCGCAGCGTTACAGGCGCATCCGCCCAGCTCGGCTCTTGCTTCTCGCGCCGCTGGGAGCCGAGCCGGGCTGAACGGACCTGCCCCGCCGCACAGCCTCTCCCCCGCCGCCCGGCTCC